CAAATATTTCCGTCAGAGTGACTTCTTACCTGAGAGGGCGTCTCTACTCCCTGAAACTTTGAGCTTTGACTCTTGTCCGTCCTCCTCTCACCAAAAAAGTCCAGACTATCCTGGTAGACAAACGGAAAGGAATGTAAGAAAGTGTTGGCAAATGTTTTCCTTATTCATTAACCTTGCCTGTACAAATCTGAACTGTAACCTGTGCGCTCTCGAACTGGTCGCTGTCAATAAGCCAGGTGCACACCAGAGTACCTGTGCGTCCTGTAAAAGAGAGCAGCAGAAGTTAAACTAAGAGTGAACGTAAACAAATGTACACCAAACTAATTATTTATTTAACTCAAAACTGATAATTAAACAAGAAGAGATATGTGTCATCACCTTTCCCTCCTTTGCAGTGAATGGCAATGATGTTTTTGGGATCAGCAGACATCCACTCCCTCACGTTTGCTGTATATTTCAGCATGTCCCTGAGACAGATAGTGGAACACAGTGGTAAAAGAAAAATATTGAGATAAACTGGCACACTATTACAACACATACTGCTGGTTAATGATACATTTAGTTTCTTTTGGTGTTAAAATACTTTGTGGAAAACGTTGCAGTAATTTCACACGCCTCAACCGGGTCAACCTAATACAGCAACATCATGACTGTGATAATAGAAGGGCCTATTGTGAAGCTGTAATCTAAAGGCTCTCAGTATAATTACAAACAAAGGGGAGAGTGAAACTAGACATCACACAGGAAATGTGACTCACTCCAACGCGGGGACATTGTGGTCATCAATGAACACCCGCTCAACCTTGTAGTGGAAGAACTGCGGGTCGTAGCCCTTCTCACCTGGAAACAAAATATGTTTGTATGGTTTGTGTAGTTCTATTTACAAGGAATGCAACATGTGACGAGAGGAGGTGCCTACTTACTGCACAGGTTGTAAACTTTATAGTGGTCTTCATGTTTAGTGTCTAGGAACCTGGCCACCTCCTGCACAAAAAGAGAGGAAGGATAGGTTTTAGCACCTGTGGAGGCGTGTAAGAACTGTGGGATTATTTTATGTTCGAAGTTCCTTGAAATAATTCTGCCTATGATTGTATTTTTTTTTAAATTGGTAAGTGTTAGATAAACCTTAAGTGTGCCCAGACTTACCCTGATTGGATTCCTGTAGAAGGACTGCTTTCCAGAGGAGGGGAAAGACATAGCAATGACACGGTCTAGAAAACAAATGTTCCACTTCTTAAAAATGGTTGTCATTTATTTGTTTTCTCTGTCATGCACTTATGGAGCTTTTTTTAAGTCATACATCATTTAACACCTACCCGTCACATAGGTAAGGTCAAGGTCAAATCCATCCTTCTGATATCGACGCTTGTTCTCAGAAACCTGGAAACAAGAATAATGAAATGATGGGAAAGTAGTAGACATTCTCCGAATGATGCAGAAGGCTATTTCTACACAGCCGCTGTCCTCCAGTTAACTTAAGTACATTCAATGTTTACAGTTTACTATGCATCCATGTTGACCTTACCATCCTCCTGGTGACCTTCTCCAGCTCTTTCCTCTGAGCTGCCAGTCTGAAAACCCTCACCAGGATTATTATTCTCAGGAAACGGAAAAACGTCACGACCCTGAGGAAGAAAGAAGTAATATATACTCTTACTCATCATTTCAAAAAATATCGTCAGTGGCAAAGTTTATACTGTAGAGTGATGTTATATATGGGGTTAGGATTGGTTGAAATAAAAACGACATGAACATACTGGAGTAACTGTGTATCAAAATCTCCAAATAACATTATATTAAAAACAAAAACTCTTCTGAAGCATTATCTTTTTTTAGTGTCTTATCCCTTGTCAAATTAACAGTTATCACACAGAGCTAATTAAGAACTCATTTTTTTTTAAGACTGTTGTTGCTTTGACAGGTTTTGTTTTTTTTCTTTTTAAATAGTATTTAGGGCACTGGACACCAACACAGGTGTTTTTACGAATACCCCGACTGATTACACCTACAGTCAGGTGGAAGCTGGGACTCACATGATGTCCCCAATCTCTACGAACAGAGGTTAAAGCTAATCAATCACAGTTAGTTCACAGACCTGGGGAGCAGTCCAATCAGGAAACATAGGTAAAAACAACTCCGTGGGTGGACTATGAGTGTGTGTGCGCGAGTGTTAATCATTTTTTATCCACCACAATAAAACCAAAGCTTCTAGTCAGCCATGTCTATCAGGTGCATGGAAACACAGGGGAAAGCAAGTACCTGGGGATCAGATCGGCTCCTGACAGGTCACTGAAGGTGTAGACCATGGTGACCACCAGCGTGATTGCCACAACACATGCGTCTATGATGTTCAACTTGGAGCTGAAGTAAACTTTGAACCTAAAAAGGTCAGTTAAACAAAACATTAGACAATCAAACCACCCAGATCATGCAACTAATAGAGTCTGAATCAAATATTATACAAGTATTTTTCAGGCAGGCTGCACTTAAACTCTGAGTCATTATGTTTCCCAAACATGGCATCCATTTCCTGTCCAGCTTCCTCTTCTTACAGTAGTTTCCTGTTTAACAGCTAATCACACTTGATTTCTGCTGATAGGGGACTCTGGGAATGTTTGCGTCACTCAACCGTTTTTTAAATTCACTAGGAAGCAATTGTGCAATAAGCTCAAGGAGTAGATAAATTACATGTGAATTTTGGGAAGTAGATTACAAAATATTTCATCCTGTTAAAGCAACTACCCAACAGTGCTGCAACTGTCCACCTCCTTACAAAGTCGCATCACATAATTAACATAAGCTTCACAAAAGACAAGATTTTTAAGTGTCTGCACCCCAACTGCATTCAAAGTCTTCTTTTGTCACTTACCCTTCCACATACACCCGCAGGAGAACGTCGGCGAGAAAGAATAAGGAGATGATGAGGGACACGGCTTCTAAGGCATCTCCAACCTCTCTGCTCTTGGTTGGCAGTGCCAAGTCCACAATCACCAGCACAAAGTCCACTATGATCAGTATCACTCCAAATATACTGGAGGAAAAGACAGATAGTTCAGCATCATCAAACAAAAACAGGCAACACGAAAAACACCATTGGCATTTACTCCAAAAGAGTTCACACTCACCGAAATCCAAAAGACATCACAAACGGTGCAATCGTCTTGCGGAAATTGCTGAAAGAACGAGAAATAATTAATGCTTTTCACTTAATGAATGTACAATGTCCAATCTGAATACACTTACTGGTACATTGTGTCTGGTTCCACACTGTCATCCTTTCCATCTTCAATCTTCACGTTGGCATCCTCCATCTTTGCAACGTTTCTAATTGATCAAAATAAAGATAGTTAGACATAAAGAGTGACAGAAGATATGCACACACAAAAGCAGGCTCAAATAGCAACCCCTGCAAAACAGCAGGATTAAATATTCCTCACCCATTTACACCTGAATCTGACCCTGGACTGAAATACACTGAGGACATGATGAGAGTGTCTTCCTTCTTGCTTTGTTCAGAACGTGTGGACTCTGAAAACAAGAGTTCACAACGATTACAACTCCCTTGTTCAGCATGTTGCTTTAATGTTGCAAAAAAAAGAACAGCTAGAGGGCAAAGACGCTGTGTCCTGTCCTTAAAACTGTATCTCTTCAGGAAAAACCCCCCCTTTTTTGTCCATGCTTTATCATGAAACTTACAGGATGCATTAGTGCTGTTTTCGTAACACTAATCGCTTAGCTACCTCATTAGTCCTGATTAGCGGTAGATGCAAAACATGTAAGCAAGCAATTAGCGGTTTGTTTAAGAAAAGTTAATTATCTAGTATTCCTCATAAACCTCTAAAAACAACAAACTCGATTTAACAGCAAAAACCACCCGCTATTCAGCGTCTCTAACCCGAGCACAGTCCCTTCTCCCCCTTGTTTGTTGACCCAAATTAGCCCCCAAAATCTAGCTAAACTCTCGCCGCCTGCTTACCGTTAGGACAGTCATTCGTATACTTTTACGGGAGTTTGTCTTGTGACTTCTTCTTGTGAGGACAAAGGAAGACGGTTCAAAGTTTAACCGGGTAGATTTTTTTTCTGTCCATCCACTTTCCTCTTCGTTTTTTGCTAACGTAGCGGTTTTGGACTTCCTGGAGCACTGAGTGAAAAACGCTCAGCTCTTTTCCCGATACTCTTTTCTCATCACAACCACTTTCACACGAAAACTGACTGGGTCTAACATTCCATTTCAGAACTTTCTAACATTATCTGACTTAAAAACAGGCTGCTGCAGCCCTCTCATATCTCCCTCCTCTCTGCAACATCTGGTTTTAATTGAAATCGCATGCTCAAACACCAACATATTCCTTACCGAGTTGGAAAAGTCTAACCGGTAGTTCAATGGCAACAGTGTGGAACATGTGTGGAAATTATATTTCACAATTAAAGGTGAGAGCCATTGAAGTCCATGTTGATAAAAGGGAAAAGCCAAATGTAGGCCAAACTGGAGAAAATATGGTGGGGTAAATTCTTTAAAAAGTCACAGTGCTTAAAAAACCCGTAGAAAAATCAACTGGTAGGCTATACTGATTAAAACAATTAAATTGGTTACTGAAAATAGATTGTAACTTTACCATACCACAAACTAACACAAGGGGGAGCCATATCCACAGAACCACATTGTGAACTTGCTACTTTGTTGTTGTACCTTTTCAAATGTACTTCTGGTCTTTTGAAATGATCAAGTTGAAAACATGTTTACTGCAAGGCTGACAACTCCCTCTTTCTCTCAGTTATGACTTTCTCTATTGTATCTTCAGCATTACTTTGAATCACTGTCCTCATTTTTTTTATGTTGAAGGGAGGTTAACCCTCATCAACTGAACCCTTTTTGCAAGGGTCAAATTGATTTATTTTCAATGAAGACATTGGGTCCTACATTGGCATATATAATTGATTTAAGGGGAAAAGTGGTATATTCATAAAATATGTATTCACCAAAAAAGGAGAGTACTTTGTTAGTACGTCAAACTGGCTCGAGTTCAGTGTTTGACAAGGTTGGTCCATTCTGGATCCTCTAATGTCTACCATGCAGAACCGGCCCAGCCTATAAATAATACTGACGCATATTTTGAGGAAAAGAACACTGCACCTGGAGAAAACAAGGGAGACGGTTCGTAATATGAAGGTAGGCTGCTGCACAGATTTGTAATCAAAGTAGCTTATCTTGATATTCTTTAATACATAATTTGTTTATTATTTCAGACTAACAATGCAGTAAGGGACTTTTTCCAAAATGTCATGCCGGTGTTGCTGTTGTTAGCTCTGGTGTGTCCAACCATGGCTTCTTCTTCTCCGGTGTCAGTATGTAGCTTTTCCTACTTTTTAAGCACTGCAGGTTCTCTGCTTTTGTATTGATATTGAAAATGGAAAACATATTTCTTAAGCAAAAATGACAAGCAGAGCTGCTAAAGAACTGTCCTTCTTAGAAAGTCGAGATTCCACGTGAATAAAAACGTGATTTATAGATGGCTTTAGATGCGGCCCTTAGCTTTTGCTGGCTCCTCCATGGGTACAAGTATATTATTGAACAAAGGTACAAATGTCATTTATAAGCTGAAATTGTTTTCCTAATTGAAGGCATCGGACTCATGTGGGCCAGATGTTGCAGCTCTCAAGCGCAGCATAAGAAAACTGGAGAATAAACTCTTGATCAGGACTTGGCAGGTGGAGCACTTGCAGACACACAAATACTTTCAGGCATTTCAACCTCCCATGTCTGATCCTGAACCTGAAACGGAAACAGCCCTCGGTGTAAACCACAGCAGCAGTGGGATATTAGACAACTCTAATATGACACTGATGAATCCACTTCCACCAGCAGGAAACTTAATTGTCCATGACAAAGGTAAGAAAAGCTCACAGATGATTATTTTAAGTGTAAGAGTTGTGATGTGCAGTGATGTACAGAGTCTACAGTGCATGATAGACTCACATAGCTCCATATTATGCAACATGAAGTATATTATGGAGGTACGGATGACAATCAGCAACCGTTAAGGCCTTTTCAATGCTATTTCATCTTATCAGACTGTTCTGAGCTGTTTGACAGACTGAAACCACCAAGTGGCTTTTACCGCATCAGACCAAAAATACACCAGGAGCCTTTTTTGGCCTACTGCGACATGGAGGATGGAGGAGGATGGACTGTGTTTCAGAGACGTCGACATGGAAAAGTTGACTTCAACAGGTATTTAAGCAAAGAAACTAACCTACGTAGTGGGGGAAAACAATTAAAGTTCTACAAGCCTTGAATGCCTATATCATTGGGGAGCTTACACAGCTGTTTCCATTGAGGTAAATATCTGTCTCAATTCTCTTTTTAGAGACTGGGTGGACTACAGAGATGGCTTTGGTGACTTCAAGCTGTGGAATGATGAGTTTTGGTTGGGGAATGAGCACATGTATTCTCTACTCTCAGATGGTCAGAAAATAATGAAATGCCAGAATATCTTTTTATAATGTCCTGCCTGTTTGGTTTCTCATATTTTGCTTATTCATTTTTGCCCTGAAGGTAAGAACCTAGTGAAGATAGATCTCATGGACTGGGACGGGAAGAGAAGTTATGCATTTTATAACAACTTCAGGATCACCGACGAAGCCGTAAGATATGGCTTTACAATTTTGTTCAATCCTGTCAGAAGTAACAACGTTTCCCAACAAACATCACTTCCTCTAATGCCTATTGCAGGACAAGTATCGTCTCCAGTATGGGCTCTATAGTGGGCAAGCCGGAGATGCTCTGATAGGAGGTGGGGGGATGGTGGAGCAGTGGTCTGCTGGCCTCAGTGGCATGCAGTTCAGCACTAGAGATCAGGTTAGTCTTCTATTAACATTGTCAATTTATAATTTTAATCACTGTAAGATTATAGAATATTTTAACACTGATGATAATCATTGACAGGACAATGACCGTTACGTTCAAGGCAGCTGTGCTCAGGAGAATAAGGCAGGCTGGTGGTTCAACAGGTGAGGCTTTTCAGATAAATCCAAGTGTTGATCTGTCTGATATCTTCCTTCTGCTTGTTTGCACACACATTATAACATTCTGGAACAAAAAGTATTACTGTATCGGGTTTTGTGTGCATAACGAATCACGGAAAAATACTGGTCAAGCCGAGGACATATTTCTTTACAATTTATTCCAAAATCAAAAAATAAGTTTAAGACACAAATGCTTTAAAAAAGGTTGAATCGCTTTGATTTTCATTTTAGAAAATGTAACATCCTTGACATTTTGTACTAACCTTTTATCTACAGATGTCATGCAGCTAACCTTAATGGGAAATTCTACCGCAAAGGGAAGTACAAGGGCAAGCACGACAATGGTGTGGTGTGGGGGACCTGGAGGGGCCTTTGGTATTCCCTCAGACACACCGCCATGAAGGTGCGGCCTCTGGTTTTCTTGGATGCCATGGGCAGTGGAGCAGGAGAAATGTAAACGTCACACTTCATATTCCCTTGTGTGTCTCAAAAGCGAGGGCAAAGACTGATTCATATCTTTGTATTCAATTGTTTGGCTTTGCTTCACACCTTGAAACCATTATCAAATGTTAATGATAGTAAAGTATCTTCTACTTTCCAGTAAGTACTATCTTCTATAAGTGTATTTTCTAAGTGTATAATGTTACTCATAATAAAACAATCTTCAAAACAGCCATAATGCCTCACTGACATTTATAAATTTGTTTGCCCAAAAACATAACTGCATACTTTTGCTCTTCCTTGTGCATTTCTGCAGAAAATACATGACAATTTTCCCAAAAGTGAAAGTGAAAGTGGTTTTCACCAAAGTTTTTCTTTGCTTACTGTACAGCAAAACTTCACAGCTTAAAATCAGCAAATTCAGTAGTGTCGAACAAAAAAACTAATATCTCTTCTTTAGTCTTTTGAATACTGTCATTGATAGGGCTTGTGTTTAACAGTACATACACCAGTACAATGCCATGGTATGTTTGACTTATAGTGGTAAACAGTAAACCATTACATTTGAACAAAGATAATTTTTTCTTAAGAAGTACAAATGTTTTCGAACGCATATCAACTTTGGCATATTAAAAAGTAACAGTTAAAAAAAAGAAAATGTTCCAGTTAAAAAAGGAAACTAAATGTGTTAACATCTGTTCTTATAGATAAACTCTTGTTTGATGTACTGTACAAAACCATTTTCAAGTTTCACAGATACATCAGAAAGGAATAATGTAAGGAAAGGATAAACGTTAATGGCAATTCCTCCTGTGTAGTACAAAGCTCTACTCCTCTTCCCCTACATATGCTGAGGACAGATCGAGGTCCAGCATCCTCTGCTCGGCCTCACTCAGCCTGTAGCCTCCGGACATGGGCAGAGAGTTGCAGCGACCTGTCCTCTGCTCCGTGGGCGTTGCACTAAAGGTGGAGCTGCGCTGCCGGCCCCTGACCCCCGAGCACGACTGAGCCTCCTTTAATTTGCGAGCCAGGATGTTCCTCTGGATAGGCGACGGGCCGCGGCGGTTCCAGTTCTGCTCGGCCCGCTCTGCCCGATCAACACTCAGGTGTTGAGGCCCAGCTGCCGGACCCCCTATCCCAGAGATTCCCTGTCCACCTCCAGTATCACTGAGGTCTGCTTTAACATGTTTCTCAGAGGCTGAAATGCTGTTTGTGTTGGTTCCTGTGTGTTTGATTTCATTGTTGTGTGAAGTCGCAGCTGTGTCTATCCACGGTTTCCTTTGGTCATTCCTCTGGGGTCTGGATTTAGCCCAGTCTGGGGTCCCGTGCTCTGGAATGGGGTAGGAGCTGTATGGCTGCCTGTCTCGTCCTCCTTTATTCCAACAACTACCTTCAGGAAGGGTCCGAGATCCCACCTAAAAAAGAGATGGTTGTTAATTAAAAAAGGCAGACTACAAATGATAACCCCATATACAGTTTGTATACACATAAATAGATGTAGATAGAATACCTGTGTCATGCTCCTTTCTCTAAACTGCCTGGAGTGTGCAGAGGATAGAGGTTGGGGTTTGGTGTCATTGAAACTGGAGGTCCGGCGGAAATTTGGATTATTATGATAGGAGTTTCCCATCTCTGCATCTCCTCTGAGACCTGATAACCCACTCCTCTCTACCATCTCCACCCAGTCTGCAGTGCGGTCCCGCCTATTTGAGCTGCCCCCTCTTGCATGGGCGGAGCCTGAAGGACCTAAGACCAGCTCCACTCTGGGACTCGGTCGGTCCGGCGTGGCCCTAGGAGTCTGCGATTGAAAATAATTGTGATTTGCGTCATCCTGGAGGTCTAACGGGATCGCGGGGTGAGTAAATCCAGTTGGTGTAGGGATAAGCGAGCTTGTGGGCGAAGCAGATGCCTCTACCAGGGTGTCATGGACTGGGCTTGAAGAGACATGGTAGAGCTGAATGGCCTCTCTTATACCCTTCTTCTTCATCTCTTTCAACTGCTGCTGAGCCAATCGGTACCTAAAGACAATAATATTGATATTTATATTACTGAACGACAGAATATGTTTCCCAATGATGTGTGATAAGAGAAAGCATTATTCTAAACATACCCGAATATTGGTGGCAACAGCTTCTGACATGTGGGGGAAAGCCTTTCTGGGTCCTGTGAGAGAGGTACAACCAGGGTCTGTGGGAGAGGCTGACTACCCAAAGAAGGCCTGTCTTTCTGGGCTACACCCACACCTATACCCCCCTGTAGTCCATGGCCATCAATCAGGCTGGGTCTTTGGAGGCTGTGGCCAAAAATGGACGCCTCATCGGAGAGCTTGCGTCCTCCAGGGGAATGCATGGAGCCTCTGCGGACAGAGTTGCACTGGGGGGTCTTGCAAAGCTTCCTCCACAAAGTCACCACAACAGTAGCCAGAATCACAGCCAGGCAAAGGGAGATACCGGCCACCACAACTATGTTACCACCAAGGGGTGCTGCACCAACACCCACAGGGGGGAGGGATGGAGAAGGAGTAGGCAACACTGGGACGAAAGGGAGACAATTATGTTAAAATGACAAGTAAGCATAAGCATCACATCGTTTTTTATTTGATTTTCTAGTCTAGAAAAGATGAGGAAATGTGAGATTTTCTGGAGAAATTGTAGGAACAGAGAATCAGAATCAGAATTAAGTTTATTGCCAGGTACCTTTACAAATACAAGGAATTTGATTTTGTATCTGGACATAAACAATCTAAAAAAATAAGTTGCAAAGTAGGTAAAAAAATAATATAAGTATAATAAAAATGTGTATTTTTAAGAAACAATTTAGCATTAAAAAAGGATGCTAAAGTATTTACACCACATTTAAATGTAACTGTACAAATAAAATTAAAAGTAAAAAAACACTACAGTAGGCAAACTACAGTGTATTATATTTTGTGGCGGGATGTGCAGACGTGTGCAAAAATGTGCAAAAAGAGTAAAGAAAGGAGATAAGGGATGAAGAGACTGACCCACACAGTTCTCCAGTGAGCAGAGGGACTGTTCCTTCACCATGCCCGTGCACTGCATCCCCCCCACACCTGAGGGCAGCAAACACTCGCGCTCTCGCTCCCTCACCCCCTCTCCACAGCTCACACTGCACACACTCCATGGCAGCCACGGGCCCCATGACTCTGCAAAACACACATTCGATTTTAAAATTGCAGATACATTTCTAAATGTACAAGCATTAACTTTGAGTTATTTTCATGCAATGCTCATTAAAAAAAAACTACAACATGGTGTTAAAAAAGGCTCAACCATCATATAACATTGACTAGTTCATGCTTTATCCCCAAAATAGACAAAGTGAGGACAGAGTGAAAGAAGCAACTTCATATAACAAGAATGTGATAGTTCAATGAATCTCCATTTAATGTGTTATGTCATAAAATATATGTGGCCTACATATAAACAAAACATGTGTTGGTTGCTGTATCTGAATACATTGACAATGTGTAATCTCATTAGGTCACCCTTCACTTTAATAGCAAAAAAAAGATTATAAGTATTTTAGTCTTGCAATCCCTAAAATATAATGTATCGAAACTTTTTTTGTTTATGTTTAACTGCATAATTACTATTGGTGAACCTTATGAGGTTGCCATCTTTTGTCACGATGCAATGTCCACCCTAAACAGGATAGTGTTATTTTTAAATATGGAATGACAGCGTGACAATGAGCCGCAGATACAATACCAGGAACTGGAAAGCCTAGCAGCTCAATGGTATCCAGCCATCATTCATTTGTATTGTAACACTTGTGCTTCTGATATTGTGACGTAAAGTTACAATATGATAAAGTGGACCTATCATGCTATATTTGAATAATATAGTGTAGGACCATACCTATATAAGGCATATTTATACTTTTCATTTTTCAAAATACCAAACAGATCATGCATTTTAGCCATTCCTCATTTCGCTCAATTTAACACTGCCTTTCATGCTCAGATTCAGTGAGAACAGCACCATCTGGTGGCCTGAAATATGTACTACAGCGTCTCCAGCGCTTTCGAACGGCAATGTCCGTGGCTGTCTCCTCCTGATTGGTGGAGTTGGCCCAATAGCCGTAGCGCAACTTCTGTGACGACATAAAAGTGTTCAAATCTGGATCAGTCTGTATCAGATCCGTTGCAGCCCCTTTTTTAGAGATTTGGGTATGGAGGAAAATAAAGAGGGTTGTGTTTTCTGACACTTGGTGAGTTCCCTGGAACACCGGGGACACATATTCATGTATAAAAGACGTACAAAAGTGCATTTTGCATGATAGGTCACCTAAATGACTTATATGGAAAATGCCTAGTCTTTAATGAGGCAATTTCTTAACCATTGACTTTGTTTTTATCCAGCAACAGATGCATTTTTGGAAAACGTGGAAGAATAAGGAAAAATATATCTTCCCTTCAAAATGAATGTTATAAAACATCACAGTGTAAATGTTCTTTGCAGCTGTCAAATGTAAATGTATTAATTAATTAAATCTCACCTGCGCTCTTGTGAACCACCAAACAGGTCTGTGCAGGACTAGGGGAACGACTGAAGTTGAAAACGAAGCGAAAGCAGTACTTGTACCTTCCTGGGTCAAACACAGAACAGTTGAACTCAGTCTCATTCTCTCCCTGAGTCAGCCAGTTATAGGCCAACAGAGGTGAGGAGGGCTCCTCTGGTCCTGGTGCTGTTCCTCCTGCGTCCATCCCAGAGGAGACAGCAACGCCTCTCCCAACACCTGCCTCCTTATAAAGCATCACTTTCCCATTGACGTGCACACAAGGTGGAGTTATCAGTTTAACAGTCATAGTTCCTTCACAACCACTCCTGTAGGCATTGGTGTTTTCCACTAGCAGCTTGTAGGAGAAGATACGGGACAGGTAGAGAGGCCCGGAGCTCTTCACATCCTGCACTGCATGAGGAGAGCGTAGAGACACTCGTATGAAGTCTCGTTCTGTGAAGGGGAAGGCGCAGGACAGCTCTACACTCTGGGAGCGGAGGGGTTTGATTGAGTGTTGTTTCCGGGCTTTGACCTTGTCGATGGTGATCCGTCCTATCTGGTTGTACTCCATGTAGCTGACTTCTAGGAGGAGAGCCGAGTCAACACCGCTGGAGCAAGCCTGAAAGTGTTCATTGGTGGATATCCCAACCTGGAGAGAAACAGACAAAAGTATGAATCACTGTGGTCATTATTCTGCAGCAAAAGAAAGACTTACCTAAACTTCAACTATAATGCAAAATCCACTTTTTCATGTCTTTTATACATAAACATGTGTCCCCTCTGTGTAAAGATATTCTGGAAGTTTCGGGAAAAAAATTTTTCTCTCTTTTTGTCCTGATCCATTTATATAAAAACCTGTCTCAAAATGAGCCGATCACATTTTGGCCACTTTATGATGTCATAAGTTTTTTTTGGCTTGTGTAACCATTAGCCAATCACCATCCAAGGTAACACCCTATGGTAACACCCCACACCTTATCACCTGAATCTCCTCCTAGAGCACCATTGTGTTCTTTTTAACCAAATATCTCTCAGAGGGGCGTGGGGAGGGGCTCCTTATTTTCATCTAAAGTAACAGACACAGAATCGGCACTTTTGAAACAGGAGCAGTTTTTCTTGCCTGAAAAGATCCCGAGTGGTTTCCGGCCCTGTCCACAGCGATGTGAAAGGTGGGCCACTGCACCTGCAGTTCTGAACTCCACCACCAGGTAGTACTTTCCACTCGACTGTCATGTGTGCCATAAGCAGGAGAAACAGCCGAGGTGCTGGTCTGCCTCAACTGGAACCGGAAAGTTCCTGCGTACAGGAAGCAAGAACAGTTGAACTCAACCCTGCCAGCCGATTGGTTGTCGGGGAGAGTCCTGGTGTGAACGGTGGTGTTGGTTTCCGTGTTGACCAGAGAGAGGCTCGTGTTGCAGGCCGTGCTGCTGTTGGATTTTGTGCTGAAGTCCACAAATACACTGGCATTGCTAAGGGCAACGTGCAAGGAGGGCCAGATATTGAGCCCTGCAAAAGCTACAGGAAAGGATGCACAGAAGTGAGAGAGAGCAAAATGAGAGATCATGTTACATTTTTGTTCATGCATCCTACACACAAATTGTCAACCGATGAACATTTTTTGTGTCACAGATATTTTTGTTGTTTCTTTGTGTATTTTATACCTGTTTTTGTATATATTTCTTGATATGACTTTGCAAGTTGTCTGTTACTGTGGATAAAGTGTGTTTCACTGAAGTAAAATGAACCAGAAACTTTCTGGATTTATCATAACGTTTATCTGGAATTAGACATATAGTCTGGGGATGTATAGGACAGCTTGTGTAGTTAATGTTTCCAATGTATGGAAAGTGGTAGTCAAAGGGGAACATTGTTTATTTGAAACCAATCAATTTGGGAGAGTTAGTTGTTGGTGTCACTTTTGACAAAATAACAATGTATCATGATTTATAATACAAACAAATGTAATTTACAATTATTCAATCGTTACAAAAATGAAATGATGTGCAGGCCTGTCCTTTTCCAAGTCACATTCACTTCCATTGTATTGACCAAAAAGCCACTAATGATGGAATTTGCCCATTACGACTTAATAATAAATGTTAAGCACAGACACTGTGGGTCCACTAAAACACCTGATAGGCATTAGTAGTTGTACGCTTCATATTTTACACAATTACACAAAATAGGTTAAACATTTAGTTGTTAACTATACTGGTACTTCTGAGTATTGTAACCTATTACAATAACCCCACCAGGGGAAAAGTTAATATATTGAAGCACGGTAACATATTTTAAGAGCAATTGTCCTGCGTAGTGTGTGAAACATGTTGTGCAAATTCTGCATCCTCACAGAGCAAAAAGGGTGTGGGAAGAGGAAGAGGAGCACCTTTTATTGCCCCGTCATTCCTTTCTCCAGGGTGGTAGAACACGTTTAATTTATGATGTGTTAGCATGTTCAGATGAAATAGAAATCTGCCATCCTTGCAAACATGTAGTCATGTTATTAAGATAGTTTAGTTCAGGGGTGTCCAAACTTTTTTCACAGAGGGCCACACTCTGAAAAATATACGAAGGGATGGGCCACTCACTAGAGGTATATCGCCTCATAAGTTCAGTTACTTAGAAGTTAGCAAAATCAATCAAAT